CCGTGGCACGTTGCACGGCAGCCAGATACCCAGCCGCCGCGCCAACCGTGCAGTCTATTATTAAAATTAATTGAATTCTATTTATAATTTGATTTGATTTGATTTGATCTATAGCACATGGTAGTAACAGCAATATATCATGCGCAGTTGTAAAAGTAAGGATTTTTGTTTAATACTTTTAGAAAATTTGCCTTGGTCAGCGTTTGTATGCAAATCTTATTCGCTCCGTTCATCTTTATTCATCGTTTCGAAAGGTAGTAAACCCGATATATAGGTCATAAAAGATTTTTCACATTTGGATCTATTTGCTCTGAAGTTTAGTATTATTCTCTCTCTGCTTGTCATTTTGTGTCACTGAGCTTGACATGACTGCCCAAATACCTACGTAGTTTAGGTTGACATACCCAAATACATAGTTTCGAAATAGCAGCAAATAGTACAAAAATACTAATTTGACATTTTAGTAACAGTTTGACATGATCTACTTATTTGATATTTATTATGACGCGATATAACGCGCTATCTAGGCTATAAGTTAGCATGCTATGTATCTTTAGCAAAACAGACATTGAAGACCTGTTGTTTCCAGATTTGGAGCCTATTGCACTTATTTGTACAATGAAAGTCATTATCGTGTCTGAATCAGTGAAAAATTGATTTATCAAAACATCTTTTTTTATTTTACGTTAAAAATACTGTGTTTAAAGTATCTCCTTCCAATAGCATGTTGAAATCTAATTAGTAATAACGGAAAACGTATTATACCTCTAGGTATTTTTTGTCACAATTTTGACTGCCTCGTTGGCCGACTGGTCGCAAGTACGACTGCCGGGCAAGGGATCTCGGGTTCGATTCCAGGGTCAGGCAAAGTATTACAGTGTTTTTTTCAAAAATTCTCAGTAATAGCACGGAGTCTGGAATTATGCCCGGTACATGGCAAAAGGCTCACCCTATTACATGGGATCCATAACATAAATAGTGAACATTGTAAAGTAGCATTAAGTGGCGTAATGTGTACCTCTGCCTGCCCCTTCAGAGACAGAAAGGCATGACGGTATGTTATCTCACAATTTTGAACACACTAGAAATATTTAAGACCTACTCAATCTATAGATTCCGATCTCCACCGCTCTTTTTGCCCGTGAAATATGTATTAATAAAAGCAACAACGAAACTGAAGAATTTCCTAGTCTAAGTTAAGCGTAAACAAAACATTTTGTGATATTTTTCGTATAAATGTCAGAGCAACATTAAGTTATACCATTTATTACCGTTGGGGATAATAAATCTTCTTTACTGGATATAAACAGTTGAGTATATGAATACTAAAATAAGTATTTCAATACAGAGCCATAGAACTGTTTGTTGCTTTGAACAGTCCAAACAGAATTATTACATATTATTTGCAAGCTATATGTGAAGAAATTAAAATTGGGAATTGGCGCCACTGACTTTTTTAAGGGAGGAAAATCATCAAATGAGTTCTCCCGCCTGGGCGAGGCGGGAGGGAGTGTCAGATTCTTACTGACTAAAAACCACCCTGTTCCTACTCCTGCACATCGAGCTGGTGCCACTGACTTAAGAATGTAGAAGGAACTGTTAATAATAATAGCTAAATAATACTAGAGAATAAGATACCATAACGTCATATACATAGATTTATTTACTAAACAGTCGTGCTTTGAACTCCTAGAGCGAAATACTGAGTCCATTGCAAATTCAACGTAACTAATAAATCTATAATCATGTCACGAAAGATGACTGGAAACCAAAGTCGTTTTGACTAAGTATAAACCGCATAACAAGTAATAGTTAATGACTACAGAAAACAGTCATACCAATAAAACGGCTGACTAAACCAGTTCAGTTGTATTACACGAATGCCTAATTATCAATCTCAAAAGATGTAAAGTTAATATAAGAAAAGAAAACTAAACAAAACAAGAAAATAAACTGGACCTGTTATTAGAGACATTCATGTGTCCCTTCCTATTATGTAGATGTTCCGTTTATTCATGCACATTGGTAATGAGCTCCTACTATTACGACTACAAATATACGGCATGGGAGTAATTTCACTTGGACAAAATAATAAAACTCCCATTCTTTTACTGCTTACATGCTTTTGTATTTTTTTACGTGAGAACTACTGCTGTTATTACCATTTATAAATATTCTACGTACATTAGCTGTATGATTGCATCGCATCATTACTTTGAGCGGTTTAACTCGTCCAGTACCGTCATTATAGACACAATTATAGAACAATAGGTTGCGGTCACCGGTGACCGCTTGGTGTTTGACAGTTTAATGCTATCTCAGACGGGGATAGAGTAAGGAAAGTAATACTCGAAGCAGTGATTTGACTTCACACCTTATTAGAAGAATTTCGAAAATTGGAAAACGTTACATTTTACTCTAGATAAAAGATAAATTTTAACACCTTAGTAGGATTAACAAAGAAACAGGTCACTCCAATTTTCTTTCTAAGTGTGTTGCTTTAAATCACGCCTCAAAATTGACCCTCAGCCCTCCACCTACGCCTTCCATTAACATAGTAATTAATTTACGTCGTAGGCCCTGCTCCGGAAGTCTAGTGCAATGTTGACACTTCCTGTCATCAAGCAAGTCAGTAAATCAACTAATTTAATTTGTAGCCTGCTTTGGGATCACCACACAGGACAGGACTTGGGGAAATTTAGTACGAAGATCAACATCAAAAGACTGTGACAATCCACTGCTGGATTACAGACCATTTCCACATAATGTTTGACATAATCTTCACAGTTTACTGATGAGTAGGAGATTCCTTTTTAAAAGGCCGGTGGCAACCCACCTGTGACTTCTTTTGATGTTGCGGGTGTCCATGGGCGGCGCTGATCGCTTACACTCAAGCGATTCGTCTGCTCGTTTGATTCCATAAAAAAAGATTACAGTCTAAAGGTCCAGGCGTATCAGAAAGAACTGCTCCAGGTTTTTGTTAAATATCGAAAATTACGTTATGCAACAAATGGGGCTTTTATTAACTAAAGACCTGATTTCTTTGATTTTTATCTTCATTGGCCCACAACAATTGTATACGTAAATATTTTAACCGCTGAATGCACCGATATGAGACATAATACAAAATACACCGAGGCTCGCGTGGGTCCACGTTTAAACACACGACGGGTTAAACAACAAACATTTAAATAAGATAACAATCATTATTTCAAGGTATGATGTGAAGTTAATTATGGACAAAAGATCACCATTTTGCAGATTATTGTAACTTTACAGTGTGATTCGAGGCAGATTGTTTTAATAGGCAGACCGCACAGTTTTCCAGTTTTCTCTGAATCCATTTGGATTTTTCGTTATTTTTTATTACATAGCGTAGCATAGTTCAACGCTTCGTTCTGTGAGCCTATCGACTGTGACTACAATCGTACTTTTGGTTGGATTTATCAGATATAGTTTAATTACTCGTAGGTTTATAACTATCAATGATTATGGTGTTATAATCATGTGTATTTTGTACATATCAAATGTGTATTTACTTTGTAGGTAACGAAATCAAGTTAATTAATTATTACCTATGCATTTTGTTTACGTATGCGCAGAAGAGCTTCACACATTGCGCTTTTGGCTTATTTTGGTAAAATAAAACTGAGAAAATTTTTATAATCTGCGTATAAATAAAAAGCGTCGTGTCAGTGTCGTGGTGGCCCGGAGGTTTAAGACGCCCACTTCTCATGCATGAGGGTGCGGGTTCGAAACCTACCAACGGCAAGTACCAATGTGACTTTTTCCGAGTTATATGTACTTTCTAAGATTATTTAGACACCACTAACAAACGGTGAAGGAAAAACATCGTGAGGAAACCTGAACTTATAATTTCTAATTATAAGTTTGAAATCGCCAACCCGCATTGAGCAAGCGTGGTGATTAATGCTCTAACCTTCTCCGTGTGAGAAGATGCTTTGCTCAGCAGTGGGCATTTATAGGCTGTTGATGATGATGATGAAATAAAAAGCAAGAAATGTTAAATTCAGGGTTCTTACTTAAAATTTTAAAAATTAACTTCAACAATATCTTCGTATTTGTTCTGTTTCCTCACTACTGTACATAATGCAGAACTAGATAAACAGGCAGATATTACATTTATATAATTTATTAATTCGTGTACCTACCGTATTCACAACGGCGGATGCGGTTGTAACACTATTAACATTGCGTCATTAAAATTATTTGTCATTCAAATGTAGCTGAACTAATTTAATTACTAGTCAGATTAATTAATCGACAGTGGAGAAGTTCAGTGACATTGTTCGTATTCTGTATGGACATATATGTAATTTGTACTGAATTATATATGAATACTATTTGGAGATATACCAATTTCTATCTATTAATGTTCCAGCATTCCAATGTTGTTAAATGTTGCAAAGTGTTGTCGAATGCGGGATATTAATATATTTAATCTTGAACGGAACCAACGTACACCTTTTACATATTACAATAATGGAGTATTAGCGTGCGTGTTTACGCATCGAAATTTTCTACGGCTAAAAAACACAAACTTTCTTTAAATTACTATTTTAAATATAATTTACTGGTTAAGCCTATAATATAATCCCGTAAACAATGTAGGCGTCTTATTACAACCTCGTTTTACGTTTACCGCCGAAACTTGTATAAAAGTATATCATCTTTACTACTACGCGTATAACATGTTCCAGAAATGAATAAAATGTACTGAGCTTCTTTATGATGTTCCAAACTCACGGGGATTGCGTAAGACTTTATTTTATGAGATCCACGAACGCCCCGAATTTACGATATCGTACCCTTGACCGAAATTACACGATACAAAAAGCTTTACGTCCAGTTTGACACAAGCCACCTGTTTGTGTAACACAAATATGATTTTCCAACACAACGATAGCCAGCCATTGTATTTTAGGTCCCGCATTGTTTAACTAATCTAGTTTGATTAACGCTTCTGTTTGTTGTTTCAGGCAGCCCGCCGATGTAAACACAAAGTCGAAATGAGATGAGTATGCGTGTGGCGTGGGCCAGGTGGTACTGGATCGTTATATTCACGACGTGCGCCGCGAGGACCGCCAGCGACTGGCTCGACTGCGCCCACATATCCACATGCAAGTGCAAATGGTCCTCCGGCAAGAAGACAGCTACGTGTGCCTCTGGTGACCTACGCCGCCCACCAGCTCTGTCATCCGACATACAAGTCCTGGACCTCCATGATAATCCGCTCCGAAACCTGCCACAAGAAGTATTCGCAACCATTGGCCTCTTAAACTTACAACGACTAAATCTCCGAGCGACAAGCCTCAGGTCAATACATCCTGACGCATTCTTAGAATTAAAAATTTTAGTAGAGGTCGACTTAGGAGACAACGATTTATCCCACCTTCCAAGGGACATATTCAGAGGCAACGAAAGATTAAGACAAGTTGTACTTAGCAGCAACCCTTTGACCACCCTTATAGCGGATCAGTTCCCACCTTTACCGCATTTGCGAATACTTTTGTTAGACGGATGCAGATTAAGGTCGATACATACAAATGCTTTGAGGAATTTAAAGTCTTTAGAAAACATCGATTTGCGTAGAAATCAGCTTACGTTCCTTCGTTTGATCACATTTTCTCTACCTGCATTGAAGACGGTATCTTTGTCCGGTAATCCTTGGAAATGTGACTGTAGGCTTAGAGAATTTAAGGACTGGTTTCTAGAGAGTAAATTGGGTACTGAAGATTTGCTTTGCGTGGAACCTTCGACGCAAGCTGGAAACAAGTGGCGTCACGTCGCTAGTGAGAGTATGTCGTGTCCGCCTGAAATTAAATCAAGTACACTTGTCGTTAGAGCTGAAATAGGATTGCCTACGACATTCGGTTGTTGGGTCCACGGAGTGCCAAAACCAAAAGTAACGTGGTTATTTGACGGTGTTGACGTTCACAATAGCACGGTAGAATGTGACATGGAAGAAACCGAAACAAGTGTCGAAGATGACACAGAGGATAGAGTGCCAGGAAGTGTTCGATGGGTCAATGTGACCCTTTTAAATGTGACATCAAGTGCGGCCGGAGAGTGGACGTGCGTAGCGAAAAGTATGGCGGGTGAGGCGAGGGCTATAATAAGTCTCGTTTTACCAAGGTCTCAAACGGCAACGGCTCGCACCGCACCTGGGATTCCACATTTATTAGGTGTTGTATTTGGCGCGCTGGGTATACTAGCGACTCTGGGCTTCATTGCAGCAGTAGCTTGTTGGCATCTCAGACGACGAACGGTTCCACCGAGCAGAAGTTTCACTGATCAAGAAAAACGACTGATAGATGCATCTGTTGTCGTAAGTTGTGATCGATCTATTGGCGACATGGCTTCACCGTGCGATTTTGAAATGACAGAACGAATGTCAGATGAGCCTCCTAGAGGATGCGGTTTTGATCCTGTTCATATAACTATAGAAGGGACACCGGGTGCATTTCCACCACCACCTGCAGAATTTGCGGTTCCAGTTCCGTATGGTAATATTTTCATATCTGTTCAAGTAGCTGGTCGAGGAGAGCCTGCGAAATACCCAGACTTGTTGAGTGGTGGCGCAACATTACCTCGGCGAAACAGAACTTGTTGTGCAGCTCCAGCATATGACAACATGGGTCCTAGAGTTACAGCTACAGGCAGTTCAACGTGGTCCTTGCCAGGAGCTAGCTCGGAGAACGTAGAGGTATCAGAAACACCAGTACTAACCCTACCACCGCCTCCACCGGAGTTTGTCTCCCTTTAGCCCAGGCCTCTGGTACTAGACGCCTCCACGCTGAGGTGACCTGGTACCCAGAAATATGCAGTCAATTAGACTATTCCCAAATTGTACTTTATGATAATTTCAAAGTGATTATTAATTTAAATTGTAAATAGTAGCGCTAAGACATGGACGATGTGTGACATCTGTGAGGTAAATACGTAAGATTGTTATCAATATTAATATTGTAATATTGCATTTAAAGTGAACTTGTTGTTACGTTGGGTAATGAAGTGAGAGCGATTAGTCTTCTTAATTTGACCCCTAGATATTCTTTTTATTTACATTTCGAGTAAGCGTCTTCCTATGCGTTGGAATATATGGACAGATTTTTATTCAGCCATATTTGACTGAGAATGGTGTTTCATTTTGTAAGTAACGCCGATCAAACATATTTGTTAAACTGTTTAAATAACACGAAATCGTATTAAAAATACACGTATTTAAAGAATAACGTCGTCAGAAAAATGGGTGTTTACTATGTTGAAACAAAATCGATTTCATCATTTTCAGGTTGATTGTATTAAAAATTTCAACTCAACAATGTCCACGAACATAAATGAATGAGAATTAACTTGCGTTTCTGTCCGTATATTCCAGCTAAACTTTTGTAAATAATGTATTGTTTATTATACAAACTTCCCAAACATAAGACTGACCCTTTTCTCTTGTTTTTCACCTCTTTGTAACTCTTAACGTTAATGCTGTACCACCTAGTCGGCCAGAATAGCTTCTAAATATCTTTTCTTTGAAAGCAAAAATATCTAATGTAAAGGAAAATAAACCGATCAAGTGAAATGATGTCGTTTTATTAGTGTTAGCTTTATCGGGACTTTCTTTTATGAACCATTATTTTCGTTCATACATGTCTTCGTTGGATGATATTATTTGTTAGTTATTTTCTGAAAGCCTATCTTCTAGGGATTGTAGCAACACGGTTTTGTCATCCGGATTTCTGTTATAATCTGTGAATAAGGAAAACGTATTAGCAGCGTTTTGTATTGTTCTGTTGGGGAATTTTGAGAGAGTTGGGAATTAGGAGTACAATACTTAGATGTTCATCATTTCCTTTATCAGCTTAGACATTTTATTTTTCAATTCTCCATTTGTTTGTTTTGTGTAAATTACAAAGTGCGTCTTTATTTTATTTTATCAAGTCGTCTCTTTTTGTTTGTAAATCTACGTTTTATTGTTTTTGGAGAATAAACACGGTGAGAACAAGTTCTTAGTAGAAAGTGCTTATGGTTCAACCTGTGATTATGTGACTAGCCATGTTCTCAGTGTTTGTTCAATTGGGATGATGACATGGTATGAACATTAAAAATCTAATTAGTCCGTAAGTTAGGTAATTTAAAAATATTATACAGTATTTTTTATTTTGTCGTGTAATAAAACAATACTTAGATAAAACGAATCAAAGTTTAGGAGTGGGAGCTAAAACGTCGTTTCAACGTATAAAATGTACATAGAAGTGACGTCACGCGACATTTCAAATCAATATATCGTTGTACGCACTCGTTTCTGTAAAAAAATAAAAAATACGTATCTAATGATTTGAAATAATCTGCCAGACGGACATTAAAATAAAAATTAGGCATCTGCCCTATTCCTGCCACATGAAACTATAAATGGTTAAACGAATCTACGAGATCTAATCTTCTACCATTATAATAAAATCAGAAACAAAAATGAAGGGAAAATAACAAAGCCTAAACACCTAATGAAGTACATTCCACAAAATAAGTTCTTACTAAAGTTCATAGCAAGTTGTAACGTTCGGTGCATAGTTTAACTGAACCTCGGTTGTGTAAAGACTAAGTTAATTCTCGTTAGCGTAATGCGAGCTCAGTATTACACCTCTACATGATATATGCTCCCCGGGTACCGAACTGCGTTAGTGCTGCTTGGCTGTTCAGGGTAAGTACAAATGTTAGTACTATTATAGTATGTAATATACGTAAGGGATTAAAGGAAAGGAAGGGGGAGGATTTTTTACTATGGATTTTTTTATTTAAAAAGAAAATCGTAGCTCCACCCTAGGATTTTCTCCTGTGTCGTAGGTGCGTTTACAAACATACAAGTTCACATCGACATGACACCTAGACCCGGAACAACAATCTGTGAATCACACAAAGAGTTGTTCAATACAAATAGGAGGCAAACGAGCAGACGGATCACCTGATGGTAAGCGATCAGCGCCGCCCATGGACACCCGCAACACCAAAGGAGTTACAGGTGCGTTGCCGGCCTTTTAAAAATGAATACGCTCTTTTTTTAAGAGGAAAACAGTTTAAGGCAGTACAACACTGTATTTGAAGAAGAGAGGTGATATTGAAGGCTTCAATAACGATTTTCTTTTAAGTTTTATCTAAAAGTAAATTATTGCAAATGCTTTTTATTGCTTTTACTTCTCAAGCTTAACTGTTTTCTTACATTTTGTTTTGGGGTTCGATTCCCTGATTACTTTACTTAGTTTACCTGACTTTTTATTGAAGAACATCTAGTTTTTATTGTTAAGCGACAACGAGCAGATATCACCCGATGGTGAGTGATCAGCACTAGCTAGATTAGCACTAGAATACTGCTACTAATATTTTTTTAGATCTTAGAAACTGATACCTATGTAAAATGTAGATATTCTTATAGAAACATAATTCGAAAAAAGACAGAAGAAGAACAAAATTACTAAGTAAGTATTAAACAGGTTCCTTTTTCTTATATAAAAGCACCATGTTAGACTATAAGATTTTGTTTATAAACTTTATGTTTTGTTATTTATTTTAGTAAGTTTTGTAATTTGTATAATGCATCAAGCGTGTCTTTGCATTGTTCCCACATAGGTATGTATACGTACATGTCGGAGGATGGTATGGGCGATGTCAAGCGAGAGCCCTCTTCGTCATATATATCGGTAGAGGTATGTTTATGCAGTAATAAAACAATTAAATCTTCGTAAATAAAGTAACGTTTACTTTCGACAGTGCACCTTTACTTGTTCGCATTTTAATTAAGTCGGCATTTCCTACGGACTACTCTGAGAAGAAACGCCGAAACAAACTCAGAGGTCTCAGTCCCTTTCAAAGTTTACAAATGGTCAAAATACATCAAAGTTTAGTCCACTTACATTGTAATAATATTCACAGTTATAATCTCAAACAATATAATGTCAATGACAATTTCACAG